GTCCTGGCCCCCTTAGGACTTGGGTTCTAATCCCCACTCTGCCACTTACTGCCAGTTGGGCCACCTGGTCAGTTTCCTTATCTGGTAAAATGGTGATTGCCACCCCTACTCCTAAGGTCAGGACTGGGACAAGATGGGAGAGGTGCCTAGGGCACAGCGCAAGGAGGGACCCACCGCTAGCCCGACTAGCTGCAGCCTGCCATTCGCGTCATCCTCACTGAGTTACAAAACAACCTTTGCACTACGTGTTGTTATTACCTCCAATTAAAAGGGATGAGCCTTGGCTTAGGGAGGTTGTGTACCTCCCCCAAGCTCACACAGCTGTTAGATAACGGAGCTGGGACTCAAGCTGGGCCTGCCTGAAGGCAGAGCCAAGTTCAAGGTCAGTTCCCCCAGAAGAGGAGGCAAGAGGAACAGTGTGTCTGTGATGGGTCCGAAGCACAGAGAGAAAGCCGGGGTGGGGGAGGGGAGTCGGGGCTCCAGGGCATTGTCCTTGAGATAAATCTTACAAGGTCAGCCCTTCTACCCCCTCCCCACCCTACAGCCATGCGGGTGGCCTTGACAGCTAGAAGCTCTCCCGGATTGAATTCTTCCCTCCTGCTGGCTTTGGCTTCGCCATCTGTGTCTGGGGTGACAGATGGGTTCCCAAAGTGCAGAAGGAGATGGGTTTAAACCTCCGCAACCACAGTAGAGCCTGCACGACTTGGGTTCCCACCCGCGGCCCCAGGGTCTGTGAAGTGGCTAGGGAGCTGGCTGTGTAGGAAGAGAACCGGGCAGGTTTCCCAGACCCTGGGGTTAACCGGGGGTCTCAGCCAGGAGCTGGGCTGCTGCTTAGTTAAAGAGCCGGGGAGGACCTGGCTCTGGGAGTCATGCTATTAACTCCTAATAAGGGAATAAGGTGTGGGAAAGGGCTCAAAGGTCAAACTTAGCACTAGGTGGGACCTTAGGAAAGCAAGTTCTGGAGAGGGGAATAGAATATTCTAGAGAGGCCACTCTCAGAGTCTGGGTCAGTTCTGAAGAAACCAGCAGTTAGTGAGATGGAGTGCCTGCCCTGAGGCACTCATGGTCCTGGGGATCAGCTAATAACTGCAGTCGTATCAACAAACATTTCCCAAGTACTTAATATGCAGGGAGCTCTCTTGTTTAATCCTATAAGGAGGGCATTGTGATTCCATTTTCTAGATTAGGTAACTGAGGCCGGAGAGGTGAGGGACCCTGCAGAAGACTTCCTGGCCAGCGTGCAGTGGACCTGAGAATGTCCCAGGCTGGCAACCCGCCGTCCTTTCCACTGCATAAGTGGTTTACGAACTTTGTTTTGTTTTGTTTTTTAAATCAAGAGAAACTCATTCTTTAAATTTTGGAGAAATTCTGTACATGGAACAAATCAGAGTCAAGCTGAAGGAGCTGGAATGGTGCGCCAGATCTCCCCCCACCCAGCCTCCCTTCTTGGGGGACAAGTAAATGCCCTTCCTGAGACACCGAGAAAGCTCAGGCACAGTTCTGAACCATTTGGCTGGAGGCTCACCCTCGGCCACTTGCAGCTGGACAGAGTTCAGAGAGTGTTTACTGAGCACCTCCAGGACAGGGGCTTGCATGGTGCATCCTGGAAAGCTCCCACTCTACACTACCTCTCAGGACCCCTGGCGGACGTCTGCGCCCTGAGGTGCTGCTTCGATCATTTCATGCTGTCGGCAAAGCAGCCACTCCGGGCCCGGCACTGGCCAAGCAGCTCTGGGCGCAGTGACGAGGAAAAGCCCATGGGATCTCTGCCCTCACAGAGCTCAAGTCCGGTGGGGAAGACAGCCTTTAGCAAACATGTTTTTAAAAGGAACATGGATCACAGATTGTGATCAGAGCTATGGAGGAAAAGCTCAAGGTCAAGGACATGTGTGAGCAGGAGGACCTGATCAGTTCATCTCTGAAAAGGGCATTGGTGAGAAAAGTCTGGGCCACCCGCAGCTTAGACCAGTGGGAGAGGGGATTGCTAAAATCAGGGGGAGGTGGCTGTGGTCTGTCCGGGAATGGAAGGACAGGGAGGGGTGGTCTTGGGCTCTCCCCATTCTCCGGGTGTTCCCTGGGCAGGTAAGAAATAACGAATTGCCCCCACAACCAGCAGGAGATGCCTGGTCCTGTAGAATCTTTACATTCCTCAATTCTGAAAGGGACAAAGAAAAATCTGTCTAAAGGTTGGATTATTCCAATTCGAGGACCCTGTGCAATGAGTAATGAGTAAGTGAAATCACAATTAAACCCAGCAATCATTAAACTCCTGTAATGTGTCCATGTAGGATCTAATCTATAGTAACCTAGGGATGGCCTATGCATAAAAAAGACCTTTTTTGCTCCCTGTTCCGGTCCTGGCCCTGCTCCCATGGTCATTTATTTAACAAATATTTAGCAAACACCTGGGCTGGGCAGAACACCGGTTTCCCAGCACGTGCCTGGCACAGACAGACCCAGGGCCGTGTAAACACTTGGTGCTCTCTGCAGAGTGGAGAGACACGATCCTGCCCCGGCGCCCACTGAGGGCCACCTCCCTGAGCCCTGGCTATAGGAAACTGAGTACAGATGCAGGTCGGAGGAAGGCCCGGTGGCCACTAGGTCCCCCGTGCTGGTCCCTTTCTGTGTCCCATGGATCCTAAGTCTCTGGGATTCTGAGGGGAGAGAGGTGCCATCCTGACCTGTGGTCTGGTTTCTCTGCAGAGGTTATGACTCCAGGGCTTCTCCCTCTGCTAGTGCCAACCTGCCCCCTCCTGCCCAGTCCGCCCCCCTTCTCATCTCAGCTGACGCCACTTTTGGAGGAGCCTCTGGATCTGCCTCAGGCTTCTCTTTGGCCCCCCGCCTCCTTCCATCTCTGCGCTCAGCGTGCTGTCCAGGTGGTGTCTGGTGTTCAGCCTGTGCCCCACCAGAGTGCACGTCTTGATGGAGGACTTGTGTCATATTCTCCACGCGTCTAGTGTCCAGCAGTTAGCGTGGCACAGGGCAGGTGCTCAGTAAATAAATCTTAAGCAAATGATTGTAGGCAAATATGCAAAAGACAGTATCTTCCTGCTCATTTATTCAAAGAGCCATCTATCCTCTCTCTCTCTCTCTCTCTCTCTCTCTCTCTCACACACACACACACACCTCTGCACATTCTCTCTCTCCCTGACTGACTCATTTTCTCACACTTAACTCTATTGCTCTGGTCTCTCCCCTCTGGAGCTGCCTGGAGTGCACAGACCCACCTGCAGCCAGCTACACTGAAGGCCTTTGACCCTGTTCTTGCAGATGGCATGGCCTAGGTCACCCTCTCCAGACCCATGCCCACCTCAGTCCCTGACAGCTCCCTCGCATCTGGTCACTGCAACACAGTCCGTACAGGGATCCCGTGTCTCAGCCTCCCTGGAGCCTTTCAACAAAGCTGGAAGGTAAACCGGTTGCAGGTAATGGACTCATTTTACAGATGAAGAAACTGAGGCTCAGAGAGGCTGAGGCCAGCACAGGGAGCAAAGCCAGAGTTGAGACCTCAGTTTCCCGAGTGTGGGCCAAAGCTCTTTCTGCTAAACCTCTGGGAAGCAAAGGCTGAGGCTCACCCCACGTCCCCTGAGACCCTGGAGCCCGTGACGTGGGAAGAAAATCCTGTTTGGAAGGACTGAATTGCGGGGAGGACTCTGCGGCACCTCTAATCCTGGCTCTCAGCTCCTCACCTCTGTCCATCCCACATGGGCCCCAGGAAATCTGCCCACAGCCTGACCCTCAGCATTGGGCTATTCGTCTCCCTGGGCATCCTGGAGGCGCAGCACCCCGTTTGAGGAGTGTCGTGCAGGCAGAACAGGGGTGATGACAGGGCTGAGAAAGGAGCTGGCAGACCTCACCGTCCCTCCCCCGCCCCACAGTGGTTGTTCAGTTTGCCCCAGGCCAGACCTCCTGGGCCCGGAACACCAGTGCTCCAGCCATCACAGCGGCCAACGCAGCCTTTATCTTCCCTCCTTGTCATTTAAAAAAAGCCTGGCCAAGGTTTTGTGGCCCTGCCTCCTTCCCTGAATACCCGGCCCCCACTGCTTCCAGTGCATCTCCCCCGAACACTCTTTCCTCCTGAAAGAGGGCATGAATATTTAAAGGCTTTTTTTCAGCCAGTGAAACCGCATCATGCTGCTGCTCTCTCTCCAAATTTGATCTCCAAAAAGTTTGCCAGAGTCTCTCGAATGCCTCGCCCTCCCTGGCACAGTGTCATGGGGGGCTCCAGAGATAGGAGCTGCCCCGAGGAGAAGTCAGCCTCCCTTCGCATCCTGGGGCTGACTTGCGTGTACACAGTCCTAAGTCTGGTTCCCAACCACCCTTTCTGCTGCCTGGGGAGCTGCACCTACCCACCCCCTGCCGCCCCAGTTCTTGGAGGAGTAGAGAAGACGGACATTGACACAGGCAGGATCCGCAGAGGAACAGGGGTGCAAGAGAGCAGAGTGATGAACAAGGCCCCAGAAATGCAGGACCCGGCGAGAGAAAGCCCTTGGCTCATCAGCCCCCCAGGCGGATAGGAATCCCGCGTTCACGCGTGCGTGGTGGACTCCCGTGCGGCCGCCACCTCCAGCTGGCCTCCTCAAGCGGCTCCGTTCTGCGGAATTACTCACAGCCCACCGCATCAAATCTCTCTTTTATCAACAAGACACAACACTCCCTGGATAACTTCTTGAAACTCCAGTCACGCGAAGCAGCTTCCAGTGCCCTGGGAAGGCTTGTGTCCCTGTGCCCGCCTGTGACCAATCGGCCACACACCACCAAATCCATTTCCAAAGTTCCAGGCAATTATGGCCGGCTGAGCTCCCTGGCGGGGTGCCCGCCCGCTCAGAGCCAGGACCCAGGTTGTCGGCAACCCCGACTCCCAGCCACCCATTCGCCCCGCCCTCCCCTGAGACCCCGGCACACCAGAGCAGTCGCAGATGCCACGCCAAGGCACTTGCCACCTTGGCCAGCCAGACCACATTAAGACAGAAAACGAGGGTCAAGGCCAGGCTCCCTACCTTTGCTGAGGGTCCCAGTGATGAGCTTAAAGACAGTCTGGGCACATTTCACGAACCCCAGCTTGCAGGTTTTGGAGCAGCCGCTCATGGTGGTAGAGGGAAGCTAGGCTCTGCTGTCGGCGCCCGAAAGGGAAAGCAGCCACCTCGCGTGGCCCTGGAACTTGGAGGCCGCCTGGGCAAACCCTGAGAGGCGGAGGTACCCCAGAAGCTCTGGGAACAGCACAGCTGCCTCTGCAGCGAGCCCGGCTTCTGCATCCAGAAAGCCTGCAGGGCACGAGGCTTGCTCCCTTCCTCCCTCCCTCCCTCCACCCCTCCTGCTGTCCACTCAAGTCCTCACCACGGGAGGCCCTCAGGACACAGGGGGCCGGCCTGGGGACGTCCTGCCAGGGCACAAGGCGCTCCGAGGGAACCAAGGAGGAGTGAGGCTGAGCGGAGCAGGGAGGGAGGAGCTGGTTTCTCCCAGGCTTTGCCGACTGTCTTTCTTACATGGCAGTGGTAATGTAGCAATTAATACTCGAGTCAGAAGGGAGGGACTGCTACGCAAAAACACTCCACTCAGCAGCCTCCTGCTTGCTCTCCCGCTCTTTCCTTCCTGGTGAATCTAATAGATCAATTCTCCCTGCCCTGTCGGGATGTGGGAGAAGTCCCCACAGAGCTGAAAGCGGCTGGTCGGCACTCGGGGGAAAGTTTGCAGGCAGCAGCTGAGCGGCCTGGTTTGCATCACGAAGTCGGGCTGGGTGGGAGCCCCAGGGGAGCAGGCCTGTGAGCCCCCCCCCGCTCCGCACCAGCAGCAGGGGCTCCCTGCCTCCAGGACTGGGAAGGCCAATGCCTCTGACCACCTCCAGCTCCAAGCGCTCCGACTCAGAGTCGGCCAAAAGTCTGCGCTCTCATCGGGATAGAAGTGCGATTCGTGCTTTCCTCGATGAAGAAAGTATTCCTCAGAAATGCCAGAATAGAATTCAATTTGATTACAGTACAATACTCTTGAGAAGTAAACCCGCAGGCAGTATGCAAATATGAAACCCAGGATACAAATATGAAACCCAGTATGCAAATAGGCTTAATAAAAAATCTGGTTGTTGTTCAGTACCACAGACTGTGCAGGTCAGAAGGGACCTCGGCGGACAGCTCATCCCACCCCCTACACAGGGCATGAACCTCTCCCATGACATCCGCACTTTACTTTCCTTGGTGATTCAAAAGGTCCTCCTGGGGCCATCAGCATCACAGTGAGGCCCTGTAGCCACACGAATAGCAGAAGCGAAATCCCCCAATAGCTGAACTAAGCCAAACCCTGGGAAAGTCTTTCTCTTCCTCTCCATCTCATCTTTCTCCTCCTCTCTTGTCTCCCTGTCATCTGCTTCTCTGGGATGTTTGAGAAGAATAGATTGCTTAAGAGCCAGAGAATGGGCTACCAGTTGATAAAATGCCAGATAAGTGGAATTCATGCTCCACGTCTGGTTTCTTCCCCATCTTCCATGAGTCATGTGGAAGTGAATCTTGAAACAAATCTCAGCCCTTCTGGGGGGTCACCATCAAATTTCAGCTCTAAGACCAGACTCTGGAGACAGCCCACAAACACAGAGCACCTTGACTCACCGGCGTGGTATGAGTCACAACATATACAGAGAGAGGAGTCCTGATGGAAAATATCCCATTGTGTTTGATGTCTTAGGGCTTGAATTGCCCCTTTATTCACTCTTTTTTTCTTAAAGGATGGAAGGTCCCAGTTAAAATGCACATGGTATCTGGGAATGTTAATGGCGCTTAGTCTTTGGTTCACTTATTTGCGTGAATATTTACCGAGGTCCGAGGATGTACAAAACACTGGGCCAGGCAAACTAGACACACAGGGTCAGTGCCTTCCCAACTTTATGGTGGAGTGGATTCATCATGAACCTTTTTCACCTTTCGCCATCTTAGTGGGATGGAGACACGGGCAGGTAGATGTGAAGAAGGGGAGGAAAGAACTTGACCGGGCAACACACCTGGTGGGCAAGGAGCAGACAAAGAGCATCACCACCTGGCTCCAGGGAGGAGGAGAGAGTTGAGAGAAAGACTGAGGGAGGCGATGCTAGCCACCTGACCATTTGCCATGGAGAGTACCACCCTCTGAACTCTGCAGGACGGAACTCTCAGCTAGACCCTGCTGCCTCTCTCTTCCCTCCCACACGAGGCAGGGACACGGAAGATCGCGAAGCCAGAAGAAACAATGGCTGTGACTTCAGGGGCATTAGCCGACTTCAAACCTTGCCAGGAACCTGCAGGAGGAGGGGCTCCCAGAAGGCTGTGGGCAGCATCTGTTTTGGGATGACAGGAGAGGTCCGGGGGGCCTTGTGTTTTGGGCTCCAGCTCCGGAATCTGGAGTCCTGTCATTTGAAACGTAGGGGGAAAGAGACACAGCACTGTGGTCTGAGGGAGCTGGCAAATCCCAAGAACGAGTCTCCCCTCCCTGCTCCAGGCAAGACAGGTGATGGTTAAGAGCATGGCCCTTTGCCCCCGGCGTTTAACCGCCCGCCTGTTCACTCCGTACATACGAATGTTGAAGACAGACTATCTGGGCCTCGGCTCCAGGTGCTGAGCAGACAATGGGGAACAAAACAGAGTCTCTGGGCTTACTGGGGTCACATTCCTGTGGTGCAAGGACAGATAGACAGTGTGTCTACATACAGGACTGTGCTTTGAAGGAAAAGAGAGCTAAGTGGGTGGATAGGGACAGGAGCTCCTAAGGTTACAGAGTCACTGAGAAAAGCTTGTCTCCATTAAATGACATTTAAGGAAGACCCGAACCAGCCACACAGCTCTGTGGGGGGTAATAACTGTTCCAACTGAGAGAACAGCAAGTGCAAAGGCCAAAGACAGGCCTGAGATGCTAAGGTCTGCAGTCTAGCTGCTGCTGCGCAAGCAGAAGAGCCTCAGCTTTTCCTTCTGGAAAATGGGAATAATAATCTTTACCTCATCTGGGGAGGCTTTGATGAAATCAATGGGCTTAATATAGTGCCTGGCATAGTAAAGCCACTCTGTCTGTGCACGGGTCATTATCACTGTCCACTTGCTGCCACTGTCGGGTGCCACCACTCCTGCCCCTGGTCCCTAAAACCACTCCATAAAAGTAGAGCCTGTATAGGGAAACCTTTGTGATTATGGGAAATCCTGGGGCCAGGCTCCAATTTTTAATCTCCCCTCGTAGTAACTCAAACACGAAACATTTCAGATTCTCCTCCGATCTCAGCAAGGATCAAATGTTTGAACTCTCCATGTTAGAGAAACGACTCAGGCCCAGAGAGGGTCAGGAGCACCCAAAATATCACACAGCAGAACCTCCAGCAATGTGGGCAAGGTGTTTAGTGTGCCAAGAACATTCCCAGCAAAGGAAGGCCGGTGAATTCATAATAGAAGAGTACAGGAAAAAATCGTTCTCTGCTCTAGGAACACGCTATTCTGCAAATACGGCATAGAAAGGGACACACAGTAATGGAGCATTCAGGGGGCACCAGGGAAATTAGATCATCAGTAGGTTTGTAATTAGCCAGACTCCCTGTCACAGATGCGCATTAGCCAAAGGAACTTGGGAAGGCAGAGTTCTTACTCCTGATACTGTTCACAAGAACCTTCACATGGCATTTCCAGGGGGCAGGAGGAGAAGCCAATGGGGGCTCCTGATGTCGTCTATGCCCACGAGAGTATGCTGACTTCTCTGAGAGCAAGGCTAAGAGAGGGCAGACATGCTATCCTTTAGAAGGTCGAAAGCCTGTCCACATGACCATGACATTCACGGCAACACTCGCTGAGAGCCTTCTACACGCAGGCAACAACTCCAAGTACTTCCCTTCACATACGTACTCCTTACAACCCTATGACGGAAGTATTATTATGCTACCCATTCTATAGAGGAGGAAACAGGCCCAGAGAGGGAAAGTAACTTGTTGAAGGCCACACAACTGAGGCAGGATTTGAGCCTAAGGCCATTTGACATTTGACTCTAAAATTCATGGAAATTTATTTCGTATCTCACCAGGGCTCAAGATTAAAGCAGCTGGGAGTTTGAGTGAGACATATTTTGCCTTGACTTGAAAGAGACAAGCAGCTGCCTGTTATAATCATAAACCCTCGTTCTTGGATGCATCATGGAGTGAGTTGAGACCAACGTCCTTGGAAGGAATTCCTTCCATGACCATGGCTGTGGGGATGGGAGAGATGGAGACGGGCAAGGCTAGGCGCAGGGGCAGCCTCAGGCAGCCAGGGACACAGCCACACCAACTATGCTGACAGCAAGAATTTCATATAAAGACTTGGTATATGCGTACTGGAGGACTGACAAGGGCAGAAGGGGACACTGAGGAATCGCGGAGGCGGTAACTGTAGGAAGCAGCGGCCAGCCCTAGCGCTGGGTGGGAGGTAGACAAGGAAAGGACTGGGATTCCCAGAACCTAGGAGCCTGGAGGAGGGGTTCCCTGAGGCTGAGACCCGGTCCTCTGAGGATGGGGTGCTGGCTGGCTAATGCTGGTGTCTCTGAAGGAGAGTTTTGAGGTTGACTCTGGGAGTTCAAAACCTATGTATCAGAAACTAACCAATTGCTGCCACCAGAACCTGATGCCATTGCTAGTTGTCCTGGGGCCACAGGTGGGAGCGGGAAGCTGCCTGGAAGGACCATGGCCCCCTGCTCCCTGTCCCCCCTACTGGCAGAGCCGATCTTGGGGCTGCTGGCAAAGCAGAAATGTGGCTTGCAGAGTCCCAGCTCAGCAGCACCAAGCAGGACAGAGAAGAGAGCCCTGGAAGCTGGGGGTCGGTAGTTTAATAACCAGCCAGGCCAGGCGTCTTTCCTTCCAAAACTGTAGAATCCCACCTTGTGCCAGGTATTGAGGATACACCAGTAAATAAGACAGCATCCCTTCCCTTGCGGAAATTGCATTTTAGAGGTGGAGTGTGGTAGGTGTGCTCAGACTATAAACAAGCAGACAAATGTATAAAGTTAAGAACTTAAAAGCATGCAAATACTTGAAGCAAATAGTGACCAGTGTTTTCTAATCAGCAGAGCTCACTGAACAGTTCATGATAGAATAACCATGAAGATGAGGAGGAGATTCCATGGGGGTCATGGTCATTATAAAAATAATCATCATGATTTGTAGGTGTGTTACCAGACACTTGTGCTGGGTGTTGTGTTTGGATTATCTGGGTCTTATAACACCTGAAGTCAGTATTACTATTATACCCATTTTACAGATGAGAAAGTGGAGACTCTGTCAGATTTGATGATTTGCCCCAAGGGAGAGGGTTGAGTCAATGGGACTGGTGACTGATTGGAGGAAGTCTGGGGAACAGGAGGGGGTCAAAAGCCACCAGCAGTTCTAGAAACAAAATCAGGAAAGGTATAAAGAGGATCTGGTCTGGGGAGGGAGATGGTTACAGATTTCATGTGTCTTGCGGAGAGCTGCATCCAGCTGGTAGGTGCAAATGAAGATGAGGAACTCAGGAGAGAGGGTG